AAGAACAGCTTGTGAATACTTACTATTCGTATAAAGCAATCCTGAAAAGGCTAATAACTCATACTAAATCTCCTTTATTTCCCCAAAGTATAATTTTTCCAAACACATTTTAATAATTATTTAAAGGAAAATAATCTCCAGAATTATTTGAAATCTTTCAGAATTATTCCAAATCATGTAAGAATTGATGACTGAATGTACTGCCATAATTACTAACATTCACATTAAAGCATGTGCAATACATGATCTGTATTTCTGAAGATCTAGAATGTGAAGGTAAATGTACACTATAAAACACTTAGCAGTACCAATACAGGCCAAATGGTTCATAAATACTGATAACAATTTTGAAATAGAAAACCAATCAGTCTTTGTAAATTATCTTGGTTATAAGTCCAAGGAATACATAAATGAAAAATTCTGCGGATTTACTTCTCTCTCCAGCATATGGATATCTTTTATATTATTGAGCTAATTGTTCAATTTCTTGGTGATCAGTTAATAAACAATATTTCCCCAAACTATCTTGTAAGATGCACATGGGGAACAAATTGCTTTTGTAGAAGATCTGGTAACACACCAAGAGGAGAAAGAAGTTGCTGCAGCTTTGACTCCGCTAGTCATAGCCGACTTTAAGAGACGGTACTCATCTCTGTTTCTTCAGGCCATTGAGTCAGTGCTATCCAAAGACATTTTTGCGGTTATGTGGCCACCATGACATCATGCCACAGTGCAAAGCAACAAGCGACATAATAAATTGGAAGTAATAATAGTTCCAATAAAATATAAAGCAGAGGTAAATTATGTATCAACTGGGATGAACATATCAATAGGTCAATGAGTGCAAAATGCAGTGCCAACATGTGAATTTTTTTAAAAATGACATCATCATATAATAACCGTTGTTGCACAATCTGTGTTATTTGCCAGTTTATGTTGGTGATCATCTTTAAAGTTCCAGGTGGTTTGGGGGCCTGGTCACCTTCAAGACCACTGGAAGTACTTAGTGAGAGTCCTTGCCCTGTATAAAATATAACGACTAACAGGGGACCCTCAGATGAGTGTTCCCTGCAGAGGATCCCTCCCATGGAATGTCCTTCCAACAGACATAAGAACACACCCTCACTCCTAGGAAGTTATTTTTAAAAACTGCTTTTTAAATATGCATTTGGGGACTGAAATGAGAACAGGAGATATACCAAAATTGGAATGAATCTGGAGATGAATTGTAATTTTTATTATTATAATAGTATTTATTTGGTAATTGTAATGCATTTACTGTACGCCATAAAGACTCACAAGATTCAAAGACTCACAAGATAATAAATTAATATTCAGCAAACCAAGACTAATAAATAAAAGCTTAAGAAGGATGTGAAGACAGCCATGGTCAATCCTGTGCATTAGTTTTATTTAATTAAATATTGCTTGGCCATAATAGCCAGCATGGATATGCATGCAAGGAAAACCACAAACAAGTAAATTTGGAGCATGCTCTGTTGTGAAGATTGCTTTGTATGCTAAAAATTCATCAAAACTAATTTATTGGGCAACTCTTAATAAAACTTTTAAGAAATAGAGAAAATCTTATAGAATGACGGGAAGTTATATATGACTGAGTTTTCTTTCCTCAACATCTCCCCTCTGCATCTGTCTTCTGTATACAAATGGACCCTGATGCTCAAGCAAATAATATTTATCAATCTTCAACTGAGAGGACATTTTGGATATAACAATAAATGAAGTTGAATATAAATTGCTTATATGCTGATGATATATACCATTGATAATTACGTATTTTCTACACTCAATCCTGAGGTTATGCTACTGTTTAAGAAATGTATAGTGATACATATTGAGAGCCAGTTTGACGTAGGAGCTAAGGTGCTGGACTAGAAACTAGGGAGCTGAGTTCTAGTCCTCCTCCCTCCAGTTGGGAAACTTTAGACTAAACTGAATATCTTTGTAATAGAAGCAATATAAAATAATATGGGTCAGTATTTATTTATTTGTTTGTTTGTTTATAAAATTTATTTGCTGCCCATCTTAGCATAGGATAACTCTGTGTGGCTTACAGTTACATCCAAGTTAAAGCATAATAAGTTAAAATCAAACATTAAAACCAAAGACACATGAGTAGGGCGGGTGCAGAGTAAGGAGGAGGTGGGATCTGTTATTAATCAACCAACTCCGTTGCACTGTTCCCCCACTGGGCCCCAAACCGACTGGCACAGCCATATCTTTAGGTCCTTACAAAAATATAGGAGAGTTGGGGCTAACCTCACATCGGGGGTCAAAATGTTCCAAAGAGCAGGAGCAATAGCACCACCTGGACCCCCGCCAGCCGGAATAATTGGGTTGAAGGGACCCGCAATATACCTCTTCTGCCGGGACAAGTGATATAGGCCAATTTCAGTGAGGTGAGATAGTCCATCAAGTAATCTGGACCCATGCCAGGGATTTAAAGGTGATCACCAACACGTTGAATGGCACCCGGAAGCAGAGTGGCAACCAATGCAGCTTGTGGAGCAGTGGTGTTACAGGGCCCATTCTTGGGGGCCCCAAAACTACTTTACACCAGCTGTAGCTTCAGAGCCAGGGACTTTCAGGGACCCCCCCCCTTTTTTTTTAAACTAATCATTGTAGTAGCATTTATTTATCTAATTTTAAAATTGTCCATCTCCCTCACACAGGGACTCTGGAAAGGTACACAAATAAAATATTAAAGCACAAAAACACATATAAAATTTAAAAACAGGCAAGAATGATTAAAATTCAATGTTAAAAGTTATTTACAAAGCTAAGAATCATCTGAACCACAAGATGGGCAGCCAATAAATCTGAAAATGAATAAAGAAATAGATGTTAATTAAAATAATTAAATTGGATATATCCATTGGATCCAAAGTATCTACCTAACACTCATTGCTAAGGATTCCAACATTAAAGTAACCTAATAAAATTCCGAAACCTATTTTTTATAAAATTTAAATTCAAATTAGAAATAAACTTTTAGTAAATTAAAAACATAGCCTCTATATAAATGTCTACGATCAGAGCAAAATCTCAGGCCCAAGAATTGTCATAACAATCGACACTTTCTTTGAATTCTATCAACAAGAAGCAAGAAACTTTACTTCTAAAGAAAATATATGTGCATTCCACCAGTCAGAATCTATGTATTTCTCTTAGAACAGATCATTAATCTGCAAGTCTTGGCACAGATTCCCATTTATATAGGACAGTATAAAAAATAACAGGGAATATTGTGAACCGTAGAAACAATTGAAGCAAAAAGTTTAGCATTTGTAAATAAAGTATTTAATTAAATACTTTAGTTTCGTTATTTCTATCTATATAAAGGACATGTTCAAAAAAGTAAAAGCTATAGAATAAAGTGCGGAAACTAATAAAACTAGGATCAAGCAATAGAAGTAACTATTTAAGGTAATAACTTAATCTGATATATCCAACGTATAAGTATAATGCTTAAAACTGTAGCTTCTGCTTAATGTAAATAAGGCTTCAATTTAAAGATGGCATATGCCATTTCTCAAATTTAAAAGACAAATAACTGCATCTCTGTCTGAAATTCAAGCTGCTTGATAGAGCATATCAGTGCAAAACTTGGAAGTGCCCATGTTAAAACTGCAATGTGAATTAGTTCCTGAAATCAAGTACATTTACTAAAAAGATAAACAACTGGATAAGCAGCAATTCACTTATTATTGGGCAGTACAGGTTTCTCCTATATGCATCCTCTAAATATACTGGTCAAAAACTCCTTAAAACAAGCATGCTTTCTTGGATACAATGGAATTAATTTCAAAGTATCTGGAAGCAGCTAATTTCAAAAAATGAATATATAAAAGGGTCTGTTAGCTAGGACTCTGTTTCACGTTATCCACTCCTTTCTGATTTTATATTCCTGTATATCTGCAATAAACTCATTACAGGTCACCTCATCATTATTGGCCAGTTTCTTACATTCCACAATGGAAGAGTGAAAGGAATCCCATTGATACCACTAACATTTGGTTCAAACTGTTGATTTCAACAGGATACTTTTTTGGCTTATTTTTTAATGTATTAAATTAGATTTACTAAAGATGGTTAAAGGTGAAGGAACAGAAATTCAACCCCTTCGATGATATTATAGCTTTCCCCAACTGTTTACCTCCTTTCTTAAAACATTCAGTAAAACATCAAATGTGATTGCTTCAATTTTATATATTTAACATATCTGAACCATTATAAGCTATTTTTAATTTTTAGTAACATATCCTTTTTTCATTACAGTGTGGATATTGAAAATTATATAAAAATACTATCAATTGAAAGAAATATGACTTAGATAATGCAATCTTGTCAGATAGAATACAATTATGCATAATTGTATTCTATAAAATATAAAACATAAAAATCCCAACTATTTAAAAGTTGCAATTGTTCACTAAAATGCAAATATTGTGTTGGACTAAAGTAAAATGCTTAAAATAAGCTGATGACCTGAAAATAATTGGGGCACAAATCCTTTAAAGCAATCCATCATCTTTATGAAATACATTTGGGTACAGACATTCTCCACACTTCAAAAAGTATGTTTTTAAAAGGGGCTAAAACTTTCACCAGCTCTTTATTCTCAGCCACTATCTGGCCATTTTAACCTGATTTCGTATGCACATCCCACAGTTGCATTTTGACACCTGACCTCAAATCCAAGAAGTCTTAAAGTTTCCTTTGAATGATCTCATTTCAGATGCAACACAGGCTGTATCATGTTTCTACGAGTCTTTAAAAGGTTCCTTCTGCCTTATGTCCAAAAGACCAGGGTTAGTCTTCAACTTGGATTCTGCATGCTGCTATACAACTTAGCAGTCAGTCAGATCAAACCAAATAGAGGGCTTTATAAGTCACTCAATACTAAAGCAATAAGCCTGCAGGCAGTCCATAGTTAAGTTTTCCAAGGGCATGCTTTTCTTGAGCTTGCATCTACTTACCGACATAGCTGCATAGTCATTGTTGTTATTCTGAGAACGAAATCAGCAAGGCAATCAAAACAAAGTAAATTAAAATACACTTGTCGACATTAAATTGCATTTGAGTAACAGGGGAAAGGGCTGCTGGGAGCCTTAAGAAAATAAATAACACCTACTTCTAAGCTTTATTTCCTAAAGATCTCAATTTTAAAATTATGATTCAAAATGTGAATGATTTTTACCTCATTTTGATAAAGTCAATGAATCCTGTCTGTAATCGGTACAAGCCAAATAGGCACTCATTTAATCTAATTTAATTTAATTTCAATAGGTTATCATTTGCCTTTAACTGATATGCAAACATATTAAGGAATGATATAAAGCAGAGTGTTAACGTAAAGGCACTAAAATACTCTGCATAAAGTTGTGTTTCTTCAAAAAAGAATGGAAAGATTTATCTGGAATGCAACTTGAAAATATCGGGCATCTACTCAGTTAGTATGACAACATCAGAACATGAATAGCTCCAAATTATTATAGATGGTATTCTCACATGCATGGTGGGTGGGTGGGGGGGTTTAAGTCCCTCTCTTCTAGCAGCAGAGTGCTAGGCCCCCCATCTCTAAAGCCCTGAGCTCTAAAATTCTCCAGAAGAGAATTCCACAAAGCCCAAGATGCCATCAACCAAAGGATTAATTACCCAGTTATTTTAAGATGTTTGCATGCAAGTGTTTTCCACTCACATCTACTTGTGATCCAAACCTTTTTTGTTATCATCAGTCCTATTCCTAAAAATATGCTGCCATTACAGTATGAGAAAGTTAAAAAAGCTTCTTATTTTCATTACTAGTATGGTCTTTTACTTTATTTTTAAAACATCAGTGTTTTTCTATCAAGTGACAACACAGAAAAGGGAAATGCAAACAAATTTTGAAGAACAAACCAAATAAAAACCAAAGAATGATTATACTGCAACAGCTATGTGTACAATATTAACCTTAGGTCATCCTTCCCTGATCTGGAACTTTTCAGACATGTTGGACTACAAGTCTCATCATTTGCCTCTGAATGGAAATAATGCCCAACATGTCTCAGGAGTATCAGTTCTAAAAAGTTTACCTTAAACTATAGGCTAATTTTACCAAAAATATTGTTTTAAAAATTGCTTTATAATTTGCTATCAATTTCCTTTGTAGTTGAATATATGTACACCCACAAATCTTAGAATTTGCAAAATATCCTAAGTCACTGATAATGACAATGTGCCATCAAGTTGGTACATTAACTCTTGTCAACTCTTAATAAGCACATGGGTAAACCTTCTGCAAAAAGATCTGTCCTCAGCCTAGTATCTGAAGTCATTGGTAAATATTTAAAAACTCTGATATTCATACACAATTTGGATTACTTTCTCTACTATATTGCTGTTTCAAATTTCATTTAAATCAAAAGTTGAAAAAATATACTTTCCCTCACATTTAAAATGTTTCTATTGAAAGGAGAGAATTTCCACTAAACCCTTAATTCGGTATGGCCATTATATTAATCATTTTATATTCTGAAGATGTAAGCGGGCACAAATAAAACAAAACTATGGCTGAATATGTTATGTCTGAGAAAACTAAAAATTTCCAGCTACTTAACTACCCAAGGGTTTCTTGTCTTCGGAATTGATAAACTATTATTCCTTATTTTTAGTTGAAATCAATGTCCATGATTTTATTTACAGCATTTGTCACTTTTACTGGCATAGTTTAGTTATAATTTTCAACTATCTTAATCATGGGTATTACCCTTGCTTTCTAGAAAAATTTCCAGATAATTTTTTTTACATATGAAAACCATTAATAAAAATGCTTCTCTAAGTGAAGCTAGATTGATTTGTGATTGGTCTCAGGGGGGCTGGAAATTTATCTGGAATAGGATTCAGCAGAAATGAGAAGTCATAGAAATCTTATTTACTTCACACTATAGCAAAGCCACTACTTAATAAACTCTACACCCTTCAAGATCTGTTTTGATGTATATAATATCCTAAAAGTATACTTTCAATAAAAATAATGGTCATAAACAAAGGGAGAGCAGATAAGGCCTTGCTTCTGATTTACCAGGTGATGTTCCACTTGTGCCATATACATTGAAATTTCTGTAACTGCTAAGAGAAATGTATGAGAAATTTAACAATTTTTTACTGTCTTTTAAGATAAGCAAAGTGTTATCTTAAGTGTGCCATTATTTGTCTTCGTATCCCAACCAAAATATTTATCCCCGTATAGAAGTTTAAAAAAACTCCTTGTTATGGGAGGTGACTCTGCAGGAAGAGTAAAGCAGGAAAGCATCTTATTTAAATATACAAAGGTCCCCTGTAAGCCCAATATTTACTTGATGAAAAAAGCGGATCATTCAGCATTATGATTTCTGTGAGATCTCAGAAAATCATCAACATGAGGTCCTATTCTGAATCAGTTGGACTTCCTGTATATTCTCACGTACTAAAGTTAGGGCTTTAGGGAGAGGCCTTAGTTGAGGCCTTGATTGTATATATTGCATATAGAAAATCTCTCTCTCTTCCCAGTTAAAATGTTTTTAGGCAGAATATGATAGGGAATATATAGAGGAGCCTGTAGATTTGTCGATCATCCTAGAATAAAATACAGCCCAAGATGGACAAGTAATTTCGTTCACATGTTTATTCCTTCTCTGGAGATTAAGCTTTTTTCATTCACAACTACTTGGGATATTCTCAACAGAAAATGGAATAGGTTCTCCTTCTCCAACTACAAAGACTATGAAGAAGTAAAATCAGAATAAAGGTTTCTCACTTATTCAGAGAGGAGTGAGTCTTCACATCAATTCTAATCTTGTTTTTCATAGAAAAACAGATAGATAATTTTTATCTCTGCATTTTCATGCATGAGAACATGTTTTACATTCTGAGCATGCTGTACCTTTTCATAATATGTTTGATAACTTCCCACAGATAATTAATAAGAAAATGTTTGTTTTTCTCCTGAACTAGTTTTATTTTCCAATTGGGACTATAAATATATCTTTATACTTGACTGAGACAGTCCAGTTTATACCTTCATTCTTCTTTGTGTAAAGATTTGGATAAAATTTCTAAATAAATTCTCGGATAAAAGCGTTTAACTGCATTTTTCTCCTGGATAGCTGCCCTGATCACTCAACCTGCTCTATTTCTGCCAGCTTCCCTACACACTGATATGACCTTTCATGCCACAGATCCTACAGAAAAATTGCAGAATAGCCATGGTTGAATATGCATCAGTACAGATCTTGAAAAGAGAAAAGAGCATTAGCTGCAGAAATCTTCACACAGAGCTGTTCTGCGAACTACATTGTTTAAATATTAGTCCATTATCTTTCTCCTCCAAAGTGGCTGAAGGGGAAAAATCATGGCACTCTAACAGGTTTTATTATTTACAGATACATCATAGATTTACTGTATATATTTATAAATAATCGTAAAGTTTTTCCTAACTCAAAATTCCAGAACAATATTGATTGCCATAGGGTATTTTCACATAAGATATGAAATAAAATGTAGGAGACAAAATGACAGAATCCAGACTAAGACATCACATTGATAATTGCATTTAACTGAGGCACGGGAATATCTGTTCCAATAACACTAACAAAAAAATCATAACCTGGATTACTGAATGAATGTAAAATAAAAGCTTGTGAGGGAAAAAGTTTCAAATGATCCACAAAATCTAAAGCATTGACAGACAAGGACCATTTACACCATACCCGTAAATGCGGTTTTAATACACATTCTCCTACAGTGAACCAGGTAATATTAACTAAAAATATATATTTTTAATCAGGTTCAATAGTGCCTATTAAAAAAAACTTTTTAAAGTTTACAGATATATAAAAATGTTTCAGATTTTACCCCTCCCAGTCCTCATAGTATTCAGATAAAAAATACCACATGTATGTTATTTTTAATAGTCCAAAAACAGGTCCCGTTTGATAAGAGTTATTGGAGGTACTCAGCCATTCATAAGAAGCAGAAAATGGGTAGACAACTCAAAGACTTCCATCTCTTCCTGTTGCTAAAGGGAGCACAGAATGCCATTAAACAATTCTAAGTTATTGTTGAGTAGCATTCATTTGTTAAACTAGAGGGTGAATTCTGGTAACTCAATACTAATGACACTATTAAGGCTGGACTTAGTGGGGGGCCCCAAATGACTGTCCAGATCCCTGCATGAATTCTCAGGCTAATTTATAAAGGTGGATGCTGCCCACTGCAACAGTTTTTCTTTAAAAAAAAAAGCTTAAAAACAAATGCTCATTTTACTATTTTGATATTTATTGATTTTCTACAATAAGTGATGACTGTTCTCAAATAATATGCATGACTGTCTAAAAGGAGTAATTTAATAAGTCCACAGTGTAAAATTATCTAATTGCCCCAAGTACAAATGGAAAAGGGAAGAAATTGAACGGGATAGGGATATCCTTGATTTGTTGAGCATAGTTGTTGTTTTTCTTGTTGATATTATTACTCTAAGATTTCAGCTTGTATCCTATCCTTCTGTCCCAAAGCTGATCACAGACTTGCTTAGAAGCAACACTAAACTCTGGTTTAAGATTACAAAACAAGAACGAACGTCTCCCTTCTTTTGGTCTTGCTGAAACTCCAAGACCACCAGACATTTTTATTTCCCCTTTGGATTAACCAAAGTTTACTAAATCATCCAGATTCAGATAATCGCTAGTTAATCTTAAATATGATTACCTAAAAGAAGCCATTTGTAGCCATTATTTATGGATGAGGTTTGTTGACCTAAGTTCCCCTAAGATTGCTTTGCTAACTGAAGTTGAACTAAAACAGGAGCCAATGCTTTCAAACTACTTTTCACAGCCAAACAAAAGGAAAAAAAGGATAAAACTAATCTGCATTTCTCCTATGTAGGTGCTGCATTTCTGCATTCCAGGGATGGGAATTTTCTCCTCCCGTCTATGTCCTTAGATATGTAGAAATTAAAGTGAACTGTTATAGATTTGATTTTCTATACTTACAGGCAAATGAGTAAAAACCTGAAAGATACTTCTTAAGAAATTAATTAGATCCATTAAATAGCCACTAGCTCTCCCATCAGGCTCAATCATTGTCCAATCATAGTCAGCAAGCTGGATAAATTCATCAATCTTCTGATTAAGTTTCGTATAAATCTCCCCTTCAGCAGCATGTCTTGCATCCTGAAAAGAACAGATAATAAAATATCAGTATAGCATTGCTAACTTAAGGATAATTGTTTGAAGTAAATTTTGTAAACAGAACAGATGTGGGGAAAAAAAAAGGAAAATATTCAAATTGTAAAATATTGGAAAAACAAATTGACTACCAATATCAAGTCAAGTCAAATTCTGATCCAAAAGGAGCATGATGCTTAATGCTTTGGCTCATTTTTGAACAAAGTCACATATATCTGTAAGATAACTACAGTATGCTATTAAGCAGCGGTCCCCAAACTTTCTGGGATCAGGGAAGACCATTTTTCCACAGACCGGGGGCAAGAGGAATGGTTTTGCACGCAACCTATATCTCACACATTCATAGATGACGCTTTGCTTGCTCGTCTGTTGCTTGTGCAGCCCAGTTCCTAATAGGTGCTGGACCGCTACTAGTCCACGGCCTGGGGTTTGGGGAACCCTGCTATAAAAGTTCTGAAATAATACTCAGATCTTGCTAGTTTTAAAGAAAAAAAGAATCAAGCTATTATTCAAAAGACTGCATTACTGTTTCATCAGTATAGATTTGTCTATTGCAATTTTAGAATCATGACTTTTGTATTGCTTTTTATAACTGGATGAGAAACCAATTATTTCCAGCAAGGCTTGTTATATTTTATCGCTATTCTTTATTACATCATTCTATGGTTTTAAATCTTAACATTTTAAGTACATGAAAAAAAAAATTAAACGCAGGAAATTAATGACCAAATGTCACAAATGAAAAAGGATGACTTTCTCATCAGTAGTGGACAGGCTGCTAACAGCGCAATTATATGTACAACTCAGAACTAGAATCACACAGTTGGAAAACTTAAGAAGTCGTTTAGGTTAGATTGCCATATATTCTGCTTGAGTTTGGTATATTATGGAACCCTTTCAAATAACCTGCCTCTTATCTAAATCTGTTCCAGAGAAACCAGAGTGACTTAGAGCAATCCCATACAGATGTCACAAATGACATACCGCATGATCCCACAGAGCAATAATATGGATAATATAGTAATCACTACATTAAAGATACTGCTTATACATATGGAACAAATTACAAATTCCTACAGAACAAAATCAAAAGACCCGAAACAACTTTTTATTGGAGAAACTAAAATAATAATTTTATTGACAGTAGTTGTTCCTCAGAACTTTAATCAAAGTAGTATTTGATTCTAAAAATGACCTACTTCTGCAGAAGAATCACAAGTAGTTCAAATAACTTTCTGCATCTTGGTGCCTTCCAGTAGTTTCCATCATCCTAATCAGCTTGATCACTGATTTGCACATCAGAGATGATGGACTATTGCCCAACACATTAATATTAGCATCAGGTCTTCCCAGGCTACGTAGCATATCAGGCAGCAAGGGATCTCAAGCATTTTCGGTTTTGAGTGAGTACTTCAATGTCTTCCCATGTGATGTTTAGAATCTTTAAGTCTTCCAGGAACATTTTTCTCCATGTATTTCAAGAGCGTCCTCTTGGTTGTTTGGCAACAGGGGGCCCATCTCATTGCCATCTTGGGAATTTGATTGTTCTCCATATGGAGAATATGACCTACAAATTGGAGTCTTCTGTGTGTGACAATGTTATGTAATTTGCAGGAGAAACACTTTCTGAGCACTTCTTCATTAGTAATACGGTCAAAATAGTGAGGCTTTAGGATTCAGCGAAGGGATTTTTGTTGGAAGAGGCTGAGTCTCTTGTTAATTAATGCTCGTTGATGCCTTCCAGGTTTCACTGGCATAAATGGCTGTTGGGATCACTATAGAGGTGAGCAAATGGAATTGAAGTTTCAGTGATATAGATGACAAGGACCAGATTTTATTCATCCTCTGGAAAACAACTGTTGCTTTTCCAATGCAGCATCTGGCATCTGTCTCTGCATCTCCATTTCTGGTGACTACGCTTGCCAAATAGGTAAACTTTCAACTTCCTCAAGTCACTGTGATCCAAGTGTGATTCCCCATATCTGTGTAATGAAACTCATACACATCATCTTCAATTTCTCGGCACTTATCTTGAAGTCAATTTTGGTTGCTTCCTCATCCTAAGCAATCATCACTTCTTGTACTTTTGTCTCATCTTCCCCAAGTAAGGCAATATCATCTGCAAAATCCAGGTTACCTGGTCTTGTTCAGAACAATGAATGTCTTTCCTGGTGTGTGATATTCATCACCTAAAATCATCAAGGGCCATGAGGAAGAGGAACGATAATAGAATACAGCCTTGTCTAACTCTGGTACTAATGTCAAAGAAGTCCGTATAGCCATTTTTGGTCTTAATGCAGCAGCTTAATCATAAGTATAAGTCCTTACAGATAATAATAAAGACTGTTGGTACATCATATAAATGTAGGATCTACTAGAGAGATTCTGGGTGGACACTGTCAAATACTTTCTGAAAATCAATAAAAGTAATGGCCAGCGGATATTAATATTCAATGCAATGTTCTATGATATTTCGTAAAGTGAAGATTTATTTGCAGCAGGACCTTCCACAGTGAAATCTGACTTGTTCTTCTCTCAGATGTTGGTATACAGGACTTTGCAGCAGCCTAAGGAGAATTATGCAAAAGGTCTTTCCAGACACCGAGAGGAGGGTATTTGCCCTGTCAATTGCCCAGCACATCTGAAGCATATTGATTTAGCTGATATAATGAAAAAACTCTGATAGGAACATTGAAGAAGTTACAATACAGCTTAAATGAATTAAGTTTTTCCTCATATGATCTATTGCTCTTCATATAATTAGCATTAAACATGACATTTTCAGATTCTATGAAGAATTCATTGAAGGATTAAAAGAAAGGTAAGAAGAGTCAATAAAAAACTCCAGCCTTCCTGATTTTTTTCCCCCTTGGAACAAATCCTTAAACAATACTAAATACATGTGAGGGAGACATTGCCCCAAGGATGTCTTTCGTGATCTTTTCTACAATTTAAGGAATTTCTGAATTGAACTCTTTCTGGGGTATGGAAATGAAACAGATGAGTAGCTTCCATAAAATATTTTATTTTATTTTTTGCAGTAATGCGGGAAAGTATGAGACACATAAAAGGAACTTCCCCTCACATACAAGCTCAAGATGTGGGGAAGCCCACTAAACATTCTCACAATCCCTATTTTGCTGTAAAGGCTACCAGCACATATATCAGGATTCTATCCACTCTAGATTCCAGGATGGATTCTAACTTCTACAAAATATTTAGAGGAATCTTCAGTAGTCCAATGGAAGAAAGATGTTGAAATAAGCTAGGGCTGAAAGCTAGCTGAAGCAACACAGCTTTAACGTGTGGAGAATATTAAGGAAGCAGCCATGTACAAGGTAGTCCTTGTTTAGTGATTACAACTTGGACCAGCCACAAAGCAAAGTAAAGAAGCTACTATGTGAAGATACAACTATGCTTATGATCTTACTTCAGTTTTCCTTTCTTTGCTTTGATTTGTGAAGGTTGAAAACACGAGGATTAGACTTACTTTTTCCAATAGTCATAACTGTGAACGGTAGCTATGTGAGGGGATGTAACAGTATGTAGGAATGAATTTGGGGGATTGGGACCAGAGAATCTGCCTACAGAATGGTGAGACAAGAGAGAACATAATCCAGAACTAGATAATAGGTGGGGCAAATGGCTCAGAAGAGACCCTTCCTAATTCCTAGAGGTAAAGGAGATGGGAAAATTGTACTTTCAGACTTGCAAGAGTCTGTTCATGTAGTCTTACAATTCTTACCAAAGTAGAATTAGCTCCTCTGGTCATGTTTTTTGTCTGGTCTACCTGGTCAGGCGGACCTTTTGGGGAAAAAATTCTATAAAGCAAAGGCTACCATGGAGATAAATAAACCATGAAAGGAACAGTGGGTATTAATAGGACCCTTGAGATTATCGTCCTGGTCAGGATCCCTCCCTAAAGTAAACAATCTGTTGATCCTATCTACAGCCAAAATTTGTTCTCTGATTTGCTCTTTCATTTATAATTAAGACAGCAGCAGACATGATAGGAAACACAAAGTTGTTACAGAAAAGCTCTGAGAATATTTTGCACCAGGTAAGGGATTATTGCCTTTCTTACTATTTACCCCTCTTTCTGTCAGCAATTTTTCACAAATATGAATAGTTTTGGGGATTTTCCTCAAAATCCCACAGATCCTTTATTTTTTTAAAAAAAAAATGGGATAATTTCCATAATACAATTTTTCAATGCATTTTTCCCCCTAACACAGGTGCTTTTTAAAAAATGTAACAACCTTATTTATCTACATAACTTTCACAAGGTACCTTCCTTCAAATCCATCATTTTTAAAAGGAAAGCTTGTGTGAAATTTTGATTACCAAAATATACAACTTGGGAACTGTTTTTGATGTCTTTAAATGCTGCTACAGAAAAGTCCCTTTGGGCAAGTCTTGCAAATCCACTTCAAAAGACCATGGAGCATTTCTACTTCACCTCTATCACCAGGTGTCTAAACTGAAGGCAAGACAGCTGTAAGCAACGATCCATAGAGCACCATGAAGAAAAGGGATTTAACAGAGAATATATGACAAGCTCTTCTGAACTTTGCTGTGTTAACAATTCCCATTTGCCCTAGTTATAACATTCACAAATGGTCACATGGTAATGGTAACTAAATGTTCTCCAAGCAGAAAATACAAGAGGCATGATGCTAATCCCTTGAGCATTTTTTTTAATCCTCCCTATCTTCTTTTAACCTTGATGATAGAGACTAATGCTGGAATTTGATAGGTATCGTTTTAGATTTAGTTACAAAATAAAAGTGCTGAAGACAGAATTACTCTCAGTGGGAATAATCCTTTTTTAGTTTGTTGGTCTGTAAAATCCTGCCCTGTTTGGGTGTATACACAGTAAGGCAATTACTTGAAACTTAAGATGTAATTGTTAGGGAATTAACTGATGCCTGTTTTTGTGTACTTTTTAAAAAGTCAGTCAGTGAAAGAAAACATTCCAAATTTGTACGAATAGGTTCAGAAATGAGAAACATAGGATACTTTTTACATTGTTATTCCACAGATCATTATCTAATGTAAACACAGATCACTATCTAAAGTATTAAAATAATACCTATGTTGGGGATAGGACCCAACAAACCATGCAGCTAATTCCACGGGGCCAAAAAATATAAATTTTGAATCTTCTCAAAACAACATGACATGACAAACTACATTTGAAATGGATTGTTTCGAAACAATTATGATAGGATGAGGTCATGAGTAAATTTACGAACTGATAAAAGATATGCATGCACACACATGCATGCGCATGTGCACGCACACACTCCTTGCATAAATCTCCCATAGGAATTTATCTGCAATTTTATACACATTTAATTAGTTGAAATAATTTTACTAAACAGAGAGGGCCTTGCTTCTAGGTCAGTACAGTTAAACTTAGCTGTCTGAAGTTTTATAAACCTAGTTTTATAGTATCTAAAGGGGTCATGAATTCCTTATTATTTTTTATGGTTAATCACAAAGTCAGCCAGATTTTTAGATTGGATTTTGCATTTTTATCCACCTATTAAGTCCTTCCCAAGGACCTGGTATAGGCAGATGTTGTTTGATGGTGTTAAAGGTAATTTTGCTCCTACATAAAATGTGCATATATATATAATTGTTTCCAAATTTGTTCATGGGGAAAGTATGTCAGTCTCTTTTTGTGTTTTGTTTTTTCCTATGTTGGAAATTTCATAAAGCCATGTCTTTCCTAATGAAAATATCTGGATGAACCATCAACATGTATAATCAAGCTTGAGAAATATATAGGTGTAACAGAAGATGTTGAGCACAAGCACATTTTAGTTTTGCCTCCTCCCAAACATGACCTCAGCATTCCAATGTAATATATAGTTCACCATGGATTAATTTAATGAGATTAAGTTATTTTAAAATAAGCAACACTCTAAAGTAGTTATTTTTATATCATTACAATGATGTATTTAAGTTAATATCACTGTTTTTAGTTAATGTACTCTTTATAGGTGAGTGGTGTGGTGGCCTAAAGTGGAGCTCTCGCCTCACTATCAGGAGGCTGTGTGTTTGATCCTAAGTAGCAGCAGATATGTCTGAGTAATTGTCTGCTGCAAACTCTGCATAGGCGTCAGGAAGGGCATCTGGCTAGTAAATACTCAGCTCCAGTCAATCGCCCCAACCCCATCCCAAAGCAAGAGATTAGAGGGATTAAAAGAAGAAAAAAACTCTTTAAAGATAACTATTTGGAACTTTTATGATGCTGAGTCACTTTACCTAATATGTTTGGGTACTGTTATTCATACATTTATAAACTGTACATAAAACATGAAACTAAAGCATGATGTCTAGAAATAAAGAATTTGGCTGTTTAAACAGGGACTTGAAAACTGATTACAACTTACATACCTTAAATGTTGAAAGACCATACAGTCTTGCTGTGTGGAGAGTTTCTTGGGAAATATTTGTAATGTTAGTTATAAAGTCTTCAAGGTATTTACATGCTTGTTCCAAATGTGTTGTATTTATGATAATTTGCACCAGCTTAAAAAAATGTGAAAACAAAGATATAAGAACAAATTCTAATAAAGCCCCTTTTTAAAATTTCAGATTAGATTTAAGCCACTGATAATTATGGAGTCCCCTCCCAAACAGAAGTATATAAAACAAAAACAAATATATAACATGTAATGGATTGATTATAACAAAACAGATATGTCTATATTAAACACTGATTGTCATTTTAATTTGGAATGCCAATGTATGAAAAAACTCCATTGTGAACATTATGTGTGAACATTTTCTAGCTTCAGGAAATCTTTTTTACACTTATATATCCTGAAGTTGAAACTCAAGTACTTTGGCCACCTAATGAGAAGGAAGGACTCACTGGAGAAGAGCCTAATGCTGGGAAAGATCGAGGGCAATAGAAGAATGGGACGACAGAGAATGAGGTGGCTGGATGGAGTCACTGAAGCAGTAGGCGTGAGCTTAAATGGACTCCAGAAGATGGTAGAGGACAGGAAGGCCTGGAGGAACGTTGTCCATAGGGTCGCGATAGGTCGGACACAACTCCGCAACTAACAACAACAACAAAACAATCCACTAAGAAAACCTTAAGTTGCTCCCTACAGAATATATGCTGGATAGCACATACTTTCCTATGTCTATTGAGATTCTCAGTCATCCGAGTCATAGTTATCCCAAAGGTGCTTTTTCACGCGGCAACTGGACTTTCTTGGTTTTCTTTGAAGAAAGTCCAGTTGCCTCATGAAAAAGCACTTTTGGGATACTTTCCTATGCTGTTTTTTTCACCATTTACTTGGACTGGAGTATCGGTAAATGGAATCTACCTACACGAGGAGTCTATCAAGCACTACAGATTTAACATATCAAATTACCTGAAAATTCTCCCTGGGGAGCCACAGGTTCAAGCAAGGCATAACTAATACCAAGATATATTTTAAACAAACATATCCACAATTCCCGGATTTTCTTTGAAAAGTTCTCGGGAAATCGCATCCTTCCCAAGGAAAAGGTTTGGAAGTCTCTGACTACTGGAAAACTTTCAAAAGCCCCTGACAATGTACTGAATCTTAGAAAACACATCTCAATACTTACCTCTGTCAAACCTATGTGAGGTTTTTTAATGAGGTTTTGTAAACAACTGCTTAAAGTTCTAGTCAGCAATAAATTTGTAGATTTTCTAAGCATGTCATCTATCTCTGTTGAACTGCAGAAAAAAAATGAGGTACTCTGAAAACAGATGGAACACTGCATGTAAAATTACTAAATAAACATGCAGCTTTGTTTCTTTCCTACCACCTGATTATAACCCAGTGTCAATATAACTCTTGGCATGTTGATTGTCTTAGAGAACAGGTTTCCATTTAACAGATATCCTTACCAGTAATCAACTCCATATCCCACCCTATATATATTTTGCAACCAAAAGAGGTAGTCCTTGACTTACGACCACAATTGAGCCCAAATTTTCTTTTGCTAAGTGAAACATTTGTTAAGTGAATTTTGCTCCATTTTAAGACTTTTCTTGCCACAATTATTAAGTGAATCACTGTAGTTATTAAGTTAGTAATATGGCTATTAAGTGAATCCATCTTCTCATTGACTTTGCTTGTAAGACAGTCACAAACGCTGATCACATGACCCCGGGACACTGCAACCATCATAAATATGAGTCAGCTGCCAAGCACCTGAATTTTCATCATGTGACCACGGGGATGCTGCAACAGTTGTAAGTGTGAAGAATGGTCATGTCACTTTTTTCAGTGCTGTTGTAATTTTGAATGGTCGCTAAATGAACTGTTGTAAGTTGAGGACTACCTGTATACTGTTTTAGTTACTCCGGAGAGCAACCTGCAGAAACTTAAACCTTTTCCATGTGACTGTTGACTTTGCCTTCTTCATTTTGGGGATTCTGCACAGCATCCTCCAACTGTCACTATCTTTCCCATTATGTGCTGCCAGCACTCTCCACATGCAACTAGAGTGGGAGCAAAACTGAAAAATAAAATCACCCATCTTTGGTCCGTGGCTTAGCATTACATAATGAGAAAGCAGAAAAAGTCAACTATTGTAGAATAGACATGCCACTGACAGGTTAAGAAGAGGAAACTAAGGCGCTCTGCTCCACAGCTTCAGTGGAAAGATGATGAATCTATGCGGCAATGCTCCGTGTGATGCAGAAGCCAACTTGATCTACCTGGAAAATTAATTAGTTTGGTTTTTCCAAAGCTAAACAGAACACCAATAGAAACTTACAAGAGGTGTGCTAAAATTCGCACATCAAAAATACTGCTACACTATCACTACATCATCACTAAATCATTACACTGGTTTAATATGGAGCTAACACTAACAACAAGGAGTTAATCTTTTCTCTACCCGCAAAATTTAAGATCTAGCACATATGATTTGCCAAAAGTCCAAGGAAAATGGAACGCATAATATTTGGGAAGGCTCTTGTGTATTAATATCAAATAGTGTTTACTGAAGTTCCTAAGACATAATTTAATTTACATAATTTGTTGCCCCATCCTTCTGGAAGCATGATAATACATAAATTATTTTTATGATGTAGATACAGTATTCTACAGAAACACATTGTTATTTTTATTTGTCCACACCTATAATCAAGTATGTTTTCTTAACTGTCACAAAGGAGTGGATTTCACGCAAGCTAATATTTGTTAATAATTTGACAAAATTTAGTATGTGTATTTATGTAATTTGAACTCTAGCTGATAGTATATATTTGTGAAGAGTAATTTGCATAATTAATGAATTCCTGTTTGGAGATGGAGATTAAGAAGCCTTATTAGCTCAGTATTAGTGAAAGGGGAGTAATTTACCATTGTCAACATTAGGCACAGCTTGACAACAAACTGAAATAGTTTCCAGATTTCAACAAGCAAAGAAATACACATTCCATCCAATTAAAGGCAAGTAAGGCTTTAAGATTAATGAAAATGGAAGCCTTTGAAAAGTGGAGTAAATTCTCCTTTGTAGTGTGTTCTACCTATCAGAAAATGAATTTCTCAATATTCCAAGAATGACTTTTTTTTAATATAAAGATATTACTAAAAGTTTGAATTGAAGAGGGAAGAAGGAAACTTATTCAAACAACAAAAGAACAAAGCTTTATTCCTTTCTACCATCTGCATTTGTGTGTATGTGTGTGTGTGAGAGAGAGGGGGGGAAGGGAGGAGGGAAAGAGACAAAAGGGGGGAGGGAAGTATTTGAATATCTATTACTTTTTCTAAAAAATCTGTATAACCTAATGAAAAAAAACTTCTTAGAACTACAGGTATCCTCGACTTACAACAGTTCATTTAGTGACCATTCAAAATTACAACGGCACTGAAAAGTGTCTTGACTGTTTTTCCCCCATAATCACGTGATCAAAATTCAGATGCTTGGCAATTGGTTCATACTTATGACCATGGCTTTAGTTTCTGATTGTCTTGAAGCACAAGCAAAACACACTCAATTAAATTTACTATACAGACACTGATTTTATCAATGCTTACCTCCGATGAAGTGACTCTGAAAATTTAAGGCTTGCATAAATAAATTCTTTAACCTGGATATAAATCTGAGGCACTGACTGTGACATTGGAAGTTTCTTTGGAAAACGGTGCTGTGGAAGCAAAACAGATTTTCCATGTGGTATTGTATTTCAAAACGGTCAAGTAAAAAACAATCTGAACTCAAATCTAAATTATATTTGGTTGTAACTTAGTTACTTGATTCTATTATTGTTTATCTAAAGTTTTATATACAGATAGTCCTTGACTTACAATAGTTTGTTTAGTGACGGTTCAAAGTTGCAATGACACTGAAAAAAGTGACTTATAATGATTTTTCACACTTTCAACTGTTGCAGCATTCCCATGGTCATGTGATCAAAATTCAGACACTTGGCAACTGACTTGTACTTTATGACAGTTGCAGTGTCCTGGGGTCATGTGATCACCTTTTGCAAAGTCAATGACCAGCAAAGTCAATAGGAGTCCAGATTCACTTAACAACCGTGTTACTAATTTAACAACTAAGTGACTCACTTAACAACTGTGGCAAGAAAGGTCATAAAATGGAGCAGAACTCATTAACTAATGTCTCACTAAATTTTGCACTCAATTGTGGTCGTAAGTCGAGGATTACCTGTATATACAACACCTGATTATGTACGTAAGTTATGAATTTAACTTGTATCTAATTAAGTTGCTTATCTACACATTTTTATAATTTCCTCCATGTCCTCCATTAACATTTGGTACTAATCTTTGGAGATGTTGAAAGCCACAACTAAGGCTTTAGAGAGATACACATGGCCTGATGTCCCATGTCATAGGTCTCTAAGCTACTAAGCTACAGTAAAATCTATTGGGTTAGGACACTGTGTGACCCCCACCGTTGCAGTTTGTAAAGAGTTTGTGCTTAATGTGCCACTTGAACTCAACCAATTTTGATTTATTCTACTACTACAGTTAAGCAACCAATGAGTAAATCTGGTCGCTAGAAACAGATCCTGGTTGATGATGAAGATATGATTCAATCAAATTGAAGTTTGCTGCTTTTTTCAGTTATGATGGTAATCTAAGTTTGCCATTATTTAGAAGTGAAAAATGCAGCCACTTCTATGCTATTCTCAATCCTGTTCAAACTTATATTTTCTTCTATACGTTTCCCGTTTATTTATTTTAATTTAATAATATTCTTGAAATAATAATCTTGTTTTGTGCATGAAAAAAGAGGAGACAAGAGCACGTAAATCTGAATATATTCACTTTTCCTTAGTTTTAAAATCTAACATGTGGAGTCCTGTGTACTCCCTAAGCTTGGTTGTTTGCACGCATATGTTTCATTACCCAGCTAGGTAATATGATTAGCGCTTTGTCTGCTTTCTGGAATATTTGACACCCATATATGGTCCCAGTAGAAGGGAATGTTGACACACCAAAGTCTCATTCATTATTGGAATTAACCAGACAAAAACTAATATGCCACAAAGTTCTCTTACCTTGTCAAGTTCTGGATCTTGAAAAGGAAATTTACTAATCACAAGTTTGTACTCTTCCTCATTTGATACAGGAATTGGACTGTAATTATCTGCTTCAAAAATATCCCTGCAGAATTTAAGGAACTAGTTAGGAATATACAGTTCAAGTACAAAATATAATGACATAGATCGGCACAATCCAGCCAGGGCTAAGCTTTATTGCATTGCATTTCTTACAAAAGGAAAATTATGCATTTGTACATTCTGATGTCAAAAATGTTGGTGATTTAAATTGCTGTAAAGTATAGCTAGAAAAGGGAGCAAGAAGTATCCCAGCTGCAATTAACTGTTAGTCTGAGTAGACAATAACTCATAATACACTAATTAACAAATATTTGTGAAGCTACAATCAAAAAGAAGCGGCTTCATATGGAAATGTAAATTATTATACTACACTAAGTTGAAATCCCCATAATATAGGACTAGTGTTCATGGTATATTAATGAAAGCAATAAGTAACCATTGTGTGTGTGTGTGTGTGTGTGTGTGTGTGTGTGTGTGTATGTGTGTGTGTATACATGCGTGAGTGAGTGAGACAGACAGATAGACAAAATAAACACATGAAATTATCAAATAAATAAAGTCTCAAATATAATTACGCTCATATCCAGTCTGTCAGAAATGTTGAGATTTCTAAATTGTTGCCATTTCAGAAAACAAATACCATTACAAAAATTGGATAATGAAATCTTCAAGTATTTAGCCATTAAAAATAAAACCAAAAGTGGCCATTATTTGGAAAGACTTTCTTCTTATCTTGCAATACTCACCTGAACAATATAGCCCATTTTTTAAGAAGTGTCTCATTGTACTGGTCTCTTATTTCAAGTAAAAGATCAAATAGTCTGTTGACGGGAAAACCATAACCCTAACAAAACAGCAAAATAAAAGAATATTTCAAGGGTGCAAACAGAAGCAAGTATATGATATTACAAAACTGAGAAGTTTGAGGCCTGTATCCTTCCTTGTTTTTGCAAGGAAAGGTCAGCATACCACAATCTCTTTCCCATTCAATAGTCCACTGGGGACTTTCTTTCCTCCTCATTCCCAAAGCAAGCTTGCTCTAATCTCTTTTCTTTTCCACAGCTTCTCATTTATCTCTGCCCTGCTTCATATGGTAATGTTGGAGCTCTTGTAATGAAGGAATGAATGGATACCACCTTCCTTCACCCTGTTCTTTATACAACATAGGAGCCAAATCCTCTACTATGATTATCTGAATACATCAAGAGAAATGGGAGGGGGGGAGGAGGAGGAGAAGGGAAGGGGTTCCATATGAAAAGTTCAACCTTCCCCTTCAACTAATATGCTATTATATATTTCTTGCATTGATCTCCTTTGCCATTCCGGCATAACTATCAGTTCATTCTCTTTCTATCAAATGATATACAGCTTATGTTCAACCCATAGCTAGTAAATGTTTAACATTATGATGTTTGTTTATATATATAACTATATTATATATTGAATATGCAGCCCAAGGCAATTCCTCTTCACTCTGTGCGGCCCAGGCAAGCCAAAAGATTACAGAAGCCTAATATAGAGTATGGGCTTTCAAGCAGCTATCCTAACTTCAACAAATTTGAGCACAGGATATTTGTTTCTTGCTTATAAGGTTGATCTACAAGACCAGTTGTAGACAAACAAACACAAGACCTGAGGGATGGGAGGAAAAAAGGACTATTATTTGTACCACGTATTGAGCCCCTGAGTGAAGAGCAGAATATATATCTAATAAATAAATATTCAGAAAAATTGGGATTGCAATTCTTAGTATTCTCCTGAAGCTTTGATTTTGCTGAATGGGAATCCCACTACTGTTGTTCTAACAAATCTAGATGATACCATGTTAGGACAAGTCAAATGTTACTGCAAACACATATGTCTTGTTTGCCTTTCTCTTGTCTTTTTATTTTTTATGCCTTTTCTATGTTTAAGGACATTATTAGTTTATGCTTAATTTTAAGGCAGGTATTTCTTGAATCTAGTTAAATAAATAAGAAAAGGATATAATAAATAGACATTCTATGCCTGAAATGCCAGCATGTTACCAACCTGCAAAGTATCCGCAAAGACAACTATCAGATTCTTCAGCTCCAGAACGAGATCAGGATCAGTGCAATAGGACTGAAAATTAAAATATCAGATTACGCTTAAGAAATTAAGCAAATTAGTATTTGCCTACCACTGTGTTGCTGTAAAGCTTACTAATGGGTGTATTTACAACAATAATGTATGGATTTTTTTTTAAAAAAAAGGAGAAGTAAAAGCAATATTGTAATTTTCTATTGAACTCAGAGAACAGGAAGAAGCAAACCAGAGAAATCTGGGCACTGTTTCACCACCTTTCTTCCATTTCTAAGGAAATATCCTTTATTAGGGTTTTCTTGCTATCATCTCTTAACTAGCAAAAGAAGATAATAGAAGAGGATTTGTGCTGAATCAACCTAAAAGCCTGTCCAATATAGCTTTCTGATCCAAAAATGGCCAAACAGATGCTCCTGGGAAGCTTACAAGCAGAGCATATTGGCAACAGGACTTTCTTCTGCTTATCTTTTTCTTGTTTTTTTTCTTGAAAACATTTTGCTTCTCATCCAAGAAGCTTCTTCATTTCTGCTTTTCGTTCCAGAAATGAAGAAGCTTCTTGGATGAGAAGTGAAATGTTTTCAAGGAAAAACCCAATATATATATATATATATATATATATATATATATATATATATATATATATACACACACATCTTTGGTTGTTCGGGTTTTCTCCCGCGTAAAATTGGAAGTGTCTTGGCAACGTTTCGACGAAGTCACATTCGTCATCTTCAGGCTGGTGTTTTCAGCTTCTTGCTTTGAGCAGCAATGTGTGGTCTTAGCTGTTTCTTCCTTTTAACTGCCAGTGGGGGTATGAACTGATTGGGTGGGAGCTTGGCTGTGTTCTGATTGGGTGGAGGTGTGTTCTGAATGGTTAGGGGTTTGGCTGTGCTCTGATTGGCTGGGGGAGTGTTCTGTTTGGTTGTGCTCAGGTTAGTCTGAGTTGCAGAGGGGTTTAAGATTTTGGGCTGCCTTGCTATTTTTTGGCTTCACGTTCGTGGTCGTGCCTCCTCTTCATGGGGGGGGGTGTCAGTTTGCTTCATGTATGGATTGGAGGGGTTTAAAGTGGCTAATGATGCAGCTGTGGTCTGGCTTCTGGTTTGTGGTCGTGCCTCATCATCGGTGTGGCTTTGGGTTTGTTTTTTGCGTGGATGTGTGGTGGTGACATCCTGTGTGGTTTTTGTGAGTGTGGGTCTGGTATCATTTTTTGTGTTAGGGAGTCGTTTGTCAATAAGGGCGGGTTTCCAAATGGCTGGTAGGCGGGAGGTATCATCTCGCTTGTTCATGCTGTGTGGGCGTTTTTCTATCTCGATGGCTTCTCTGATTATTCTGTTATTAAAATGTTCACTTTTGGCAATGGTTCTGGTATTTTTAAAGTCAATTTCATGTCCTGTGGCTTTAAGGTGTTGGACCAGGGAAGATGTTGGTTCCTCTTTTTTGACTGAGTTCTTATGTTCTTCAATGCGTGCACTTATTCTTCTGTTGGTTTGTCCATGTATGTGGTATGACATCGGACAAACCAACAGAAGAATAAGTGCACGCATTGAAGAACATAAGAACTCAGTCAAAAAAGAGGAACCAACATCTTCCCTGGTCCAACACCTTAAAGCCACAGGACATGAAATTGACTTTAAAAATACCAGAACCATTGCCAAAAGTGAACATTTTAATAACAGAATAATCAGAGAAGCCATCGAGATAGAAAAACGCCCACACAGCATGAACAAGCGAGATGATACCTCCCGCCTACCAGCCATTTGGAAACCCGCCCTTATTGACAAACGACTCCCCAACACAAAAAATGATACCAGACCCACACTCACAACAACCACACAGGATGTCACCACCACACATCCACGCAAAAAACAAACCCAAAGCCATACCGATGACGAGGCACGACCACAAACCAGAAGCCAGACCACAGCTGCATCATTAGCCACTTTAAACCCCTCCAATCCATACATGAAGCAAACTGACATGAAGAGGAGGCACGACCACGAACGCGAAGCCAAAAAATAGCAAGGCAGCCCAATATCTTAAACCCCTCTGCAACTCAGACTAACCTGAGCACAACCAAACAGAACACTCCCCCAGCCAATCAGAGCACAGCCAAGCCCCTAACCATTCAGAACACACCTCCACCCAATCAGAACACAGCCAAGCTCCCACCCAATCAGTTCATACCCCCACTGGCAGTTAAAAGGAAGAAACAGCTAAGACCACACATTGCTGCTCAAAGCACGAAGCTGAAAACACCAGCCTGAAGATGACGAATGGGACTTCGTCGAAACGTCGCCAAGACACTTCCAATTTTACATGGGAGAAAACCCGAACAACCAAAGACCTACATACAAATACCCGCGAAAACCTCAGAAAACAAATATACGTATATATGTATATATTTGGATTGCTAACAAAGAATTATTTATTTATTATTATTATTATTAATTATTACTATTAATTTACCTGATACTCTTTTAAAGTCACTCATGTTGGTGTTTAAGACAATTTCTGAAAAAGTGCTCTACCTCTCATTTTGCTCCCCATCACTAAATTTCAGGTGTAAATATTGGCTATTCCAATTTCTTCTTTAAGTAGAAGCTATAAAAATATTTAAGATAATCTCTGAGCTTGATTAGCGGTGACTGCATACACACATTAATGCAGTTTGCTTGGCAATTTATAGATGTTCTCTTCTTAAAGAATGCTTTTTTTATCTTCCCACTTTAGCTTGGATATGTGGGATTCCCTGGTGGTCTCCCTTCTAAGAATTAACCAGATCTAATCCTCCTTAGTTTCTGAGTAAAATTCATATAAGATTGGCCTGATTCTAGTATCTGCTGAGATCATAAAAAGTGTTATTGATGATAGAAAACAACTTGAAAATTATTGCATGAACACGTGTAGGCTTTTCTATATACATGTTTTCTGTATACATACTTAGCCTTAAGACATGTATTTTTCAGGCACTTAACATATGCTTTTTTCATCAGCTTTGGGGATCCATAGGGAGCCTGCAAGGTGGCTGTATGGGGTCAAGTGATGGTTGTTCTCCCACATTCTTGGGTTTTATATGTTTATTTTATTTATGGTTGACTCCTTGTAGACTGTTATGTAGTTTTTAATGGCTGTTATGTTTGTGCGCTGCCCACAGTCACATTTTGTTAGATGGGTGGCTACATAAATGTGATAAATGAACAAAAGAAATAGTCTGGGTTTATGTTAAATAACCATTTGCTTCTATTTACTGACAAACTGTCACAATAAAAATCCATCAGCTATTAGCAATTTTTGCTATTTTATTCTTTTATAGGCAAAAAAAATTGCAAAAAAATAGGAAAATATCACTTTATAAGACTAAATGATACTTGTTTATAATTCCCCAACCCAAGAACAGCTAATAAGGTCTAGTAGCTAGTGTACAACTCTGTTACAATTTACAGCTGTCCTAAGGCTAAGAGTTTTGCCAGTGAAGTTTACTTTGGAAAAGGGTTTGGAATTATAATTAGAAACTATTTCCTGGTGCTATTTTCAATGCTCAACTAATTTACTCTGATCTAATAAAGAGGTCAGTTGAAACTAATTAGGACAGATTGCAATAATAAGAGCAGATTAACTCTGCATATTCTAAACTGTTCAGACTAAGAACAGTTTGGAAGACCTGGGGAGTTGTAAATCAGCGGGGGATTATGCAGATAGCCCACGGCTGTAACTCAAAGCCAGATAGTGCAAGGACAAACAAAGGCTTCATAGGCTCTCTCCTAAATCTGAGCAATTTTTAATTACAAATACCCCCCCTCCACAGGTTAGACCTGCATTCTGCACCACCACCACCACCATCACCATCATTTCAAGCCTTCCCCCACATTCTCCTTCCTCTAAACATACTCTACAGGGTCTTAAGTAAGTAAATTTAAAGGGAAGCTTCAAAAAAAAAAAAAAAACCCAGCTCACTTACTGAATGAGTTCTAAGGACAGCGATAATCTTTGAAAGTGCCATATTCCAAAGTTCATCTGTATAAGCTCTTGTTATTAATCCTTGGGTTGCGTGTAAAATGTGATCCTCCACGACAAAAAAACTGAACAGGATGAGAAATAGTGGAATCAATATGATTTTCCTGAGATATAATTCATAAAGGGCAATAAAACGCAGTGCTCTCCCTTTTCCTCCCCCTTTCATCCTCAGCCCCCAAACCTGGAGGCTTCACTAGCCATTTCCCAAACCTTTGTAATATCAGTCCCATTCACACCTTTAGTGCTTAACTAAAGGGAATGTGTGAAGAAACCCATATTTCGCCATTTAATTAGGAAAAGTATATCTGAGATACAGTAATAAATGTAGACGTTTACCCCTCAGACTGCACCTCAGTGGGAGAGCATATTTTTTGTTCATGCATTCAACATAGCAAGATTGTGGGAAAGCAAGGCAGGACTGATTGCCTAGAGACTGTGAACTTTATTATAAATCAACAGAAAACCAACAACTGAATATGGGCTGGCTTGTAGTGCACTGAAGACAACTTGGCTATCAATGGATGCTCATAAACGAAAGATTAAATCAATTGCTATCTTAGAAGGGAGTAGTGTTTTTTGCTTAATAATAGCTGTCATAGTTGCTGTGCATAAGACTCGTGGTTTTAAGTTATAGACTATGCAACGTCAGCCTGTAAATTCTGGGATGCTGTAGTGGAAATATGATAATTGTCAGCAGGCCTTAGAAAGAATATGTCACCAAGGCATCAACAGTTTCTATACCCTAAAGATCCAATTCTTTATATTTTAAAAATATTCTTAAAAGTTCTGAATGGAACAATACAAGATAATGCAACTAAAAAAGAAAGAGAAAAAAGTTCCAGAAAAAAAAAAGAATTAAAAAAACTCTCCCTTTGCAAGAAAGGGACTTGCCATGTCAAGGTAATGATTTAATAGCTAACCAGCTTATGTAATGTAAGATGTAATGATGGGAATGACTCAGCAGGGTCTGTGTCCCTTTAAGAGCCAGCAGGGTCTGTGTCCCTTTAAGAACCTTTGTATAAAGGGAAGGCTCCACAGATGTGTTTTCTTTCGCTTCCATTTCCCACTGTAACTTTGGTTTGTTGGAGCCTGTTGTATTAGCACATGTATGTATATTGTTCCTGGTGTATGACATTGTAGATAGTGTAAGATAAATCACCATTTACTATAGACCACTGTTTACCATGTTTACTCCTTTAGACTGTGCACACTGTGACATGCCACCATCATCATGACAAGTACAAACAATTCCATGATCTCTTCCCCTCCTTTTAGCTAACAAATAACATCCCATAACCCATTTCTTAATAGGCAAATTAAATTAGTACTATCTTCTTCAATCCAGTTACCACCAAAAGTTCTAAACAAAGCTGTAAGATTTTAACATCTGATAAATCCAATTCTTTAATACACACATTATTTACTTTCAAGAAAACGTAATTTGATCTATGATGATGGGAGGAGCAAAGGAGCATAACTGTTCCTACTCCTTGCTATCTTAAAATATCAATTGCTAATGTTAATATAGCAAAAATAAAGCAAAAAAGCATATGCAAACCAGTTGAAAAGCTGTAATAAGTAAGATAGCAGCTTTACTCACCCTACAATTTGACTGAAGTATCTTCTGTAATCTTCTACTGTTTCATGCTGTAAGAAAAGAACACAATAATTTAACAGAAAGCAATGTGATGTGAGAGGTTGTATAAATCTTTTCTTTTTAAAATTCAAGTACCATGTTTGACTGTGGCTGTAAAACTAGTCTTGCTTGTTTCCTCCTCTGTTTTCTATAGTAGTTTTCAAATGTTTCTGCATCACCCTAAACAAAAAAATATACACAATTTAAGCCATCCCTTTGTTTTCCCAAATATCGTCATGATAAATGTCCCCACACTTCTGAATATGAAAAATAGCTTTTTAAAAAAATATGGGATGCTAATAACTTCAAATATACAGTATACTGTGTGCATGTACTGTACGATTCTGTTTTACTACAGACATTTTAGTTTAAAAATACTCATTTAAATCAGTGTTCCAGATAAGTTTTGTCTATATATCATTCTGTCTCATAGTGGAAGCAATCCTATGCTACTATTTTTCCCAAATTACCGAACAATGCTTAATAGTTTTAGAATGAGCCATCACTTGAAGTTAACGTCATTTCATGGCTTCTTCATTTTCATGCCTTGTTCTGAAGCCGTTTGCTATAGTTTCCCATTTTGGATGGAACAAAAAGCTATAGCTAATTATAGATTCATGCTTCATTACTATAGCATATCCCAACTGAATGTGCCCATGGTTTATAGGTTAATTCATATTTCAGTCTATTAAGCCAATGTGTGATAGTATGAACTTTTACATGAATTAGCTAATCAATCTTTGGTTGCTGTTAGAAAAACAGTGATCTTTTAGTTCTATTAGGTATAATGTTCCTATATGCTCCTCACATATCCTGTTTCTGGCCCTCCAGAAACTGATTAGCTAATTCATGTAAGAGTTCATACTATCACACATTGGCTTAATAGACTGAGATATGAATGAGGTGACAATGGGAATTAAGAAGAGAGGGGAAACTAGGGGAAATGTATTCTTTTTCTGCTGGTAAAACAGAGCCTCTAGTGGCTCAAAGGCTCTTGTCTTTACACAAGGACTTTTTATGAATGAAGAAACAATGCTGCAACTAAATAGGCAAGCTTTACTAAGCAGGCAATAAATTGCACGCACATATTTATTATTAGACTGTACATACATTTATATATATATATACACACACACACACACACACACACACACACACACATAAAAGGGTTTCATATATAACGTATATACATATGTTCATATATACTTACCAGAACTGAATAAATATGTAGGCATCTATATACAGGAGAAAAATCTACCAAATCGTGAGCAGTCAAAACCTGTAAAAATGACCCCCCCCCAAAAAAGGCAAGAATATAACTTCCAATCAGCTATAATATTACAAAGCAAACTTTTAGCATAAATTAAAAATAGGCTCAATGAAAACCAATATTTTCTATGAGCAAAATTTGTTATGAGTAGTTACGTGGTTGTTATGTTAACTAAAGTGTACTTATTCAAAAAGATTACTACTGTGCTCCATCAGTAGTAAAATTATAAAATACACTTTATAAAAGTCCTCCCCAAAGGTGCCTTAATCTAACAAAACTGGGGTTTGTGTGTGAAAGCTTAACCAGGGCTAGTAAAGAATAAAAAAGGCAATGGTAGTAATAAATAAAACCAGTGTATTAAACAGTATGTATATAAATTATGCATCTTCTCACTTTATTTTGGGCTATATAAATTCAACAAAAAAGATCATATGTACTAGGTTAAGATTTCCTTTATGAATACAGTAAAATCCATTTGTCACAGAAACATCTATCATGCTAATAAAACAAAACATTGTTTTCTTTATTGTGAATTTTCTGTGATTTTCCATCTCAAATAAGGTCAAAATGCTTTCCAAAATTATCTCAATCTAGGACAGTTACTGTTGCAATAGATATTTGATAATTGATAGTTTATGTAGTGAAGCTGTTATCCAGGAAGGACAAAATGGAGATAATCTCCTACATCATCTTCTTTCCTGAAAACTAGAAAGAGTAGCATAAAGCATTCAGCTAAATCAAATTCATATGAATGATATTTATCAAACATTATAGCATTTTGTGCCATGAGCATTTTTTTTAAAGTTTCATCTTATATCAGAATTTTTTGATATAAACTTCAGATGTCTGCTTATTTCTCAGTTGAACCTTGGTATACCATGGACATACCTAACCATCAAAATACAATAAAATCCATTGAAATACCTCCTCTTCGTGTTCTTCTTCATCTTCTACGTTTTGCTTTGAAACTATTTCACTCCTTGCTTCTGCAATTCCATTGCTATTTATGTATACATTCTTTCCACAGCACAAACTGCTCTGCTTCTGAAGAGCAGTATTAAAAGTTTTTTGCTGCTGTGCCTGCATTTATAAAGTGCACACAATCAAGAAAATAATCCATGAGGTCTTTTTTACATCCTAAGAAACAAATGCAAGTCATAACGAGGGTAGAGTTGCGGAAGAGGTGGTCTCCCAGTGCTTTAGCTGGATTCAGCAGACCTCAGCATTTTTCAAAATAGTGGATGCAGTGTGGCAAACTTGCTGTGCAGCTGAACATATGATGGAAACAAATGTGGAAGAAGGCTGCTAAACCTTCTTTCAACCAACCCAACTGAAGTGGGGGATGATATAAGGAGCGGAAAGAAGAAGGAAAAAAATATATAGTGGGCACATGAAAGCTTCAGTCCTTAAAACACTCTGGCTCCACTCAAGCACATCCACTTTACAGCCGGTCAGCAGAATGTACCCTTGGTAAAAGAGCCCAGCATGGTCAAATATTTTTGACAGAGTGTTTATTTATTTATTTATTTATGAGACTTATATACCGCTTTAAGTGCAAACACTCTCTAAGCGGTGTACACCAGTAAGCAATGTATATATATATATTTACATTGCCCCCAACAATCTGGGTCCTCATTTTACCTACCTCGGAAGGATGGAAGGCTGAGTCAACCTTGAGCCGGTGAGATTTGAACCGCTGACCTGCTGAACACAGTCAGCTAAAGTGGCCTGCAGTACTGCACTCTAACTGCTGCGCCACCTCGGCTCCTTATGGGAAGAAGACAAACATCCACCCCATTCTAGATCCCTCTTCAAGATTTTTGCCACATATCTAGAGTTACACATGAAGACTTTCCAGAATGATTCCACTGGTTTTATTTTGGCGTGCAACCAATGTGAATATCATTCATCCAGTTTTACCATTTAGATGCAAAACTGTATTTTACCATTCAAAATGGGTAGGAAAATGCTATGTTCCTGCAAAGAAGGCTGACATATGGTGTTTGCAAATATGTATTCATAATGATAATAAAGAGGCACTTGGATGCTATACTTTTATCAGAGAAAATTCCCTGAGAATAGGAACAAAAGCTAAATTTGATTGTTGCAGCCAGGCTTTATTTAATAATATAACAAAATGAGCATTTCAGGATGTTTACCTGTTTCATTGCCATTTCACCAATTTTATCTGAATGCTTCCGGATGCTCTCCAGGAAGTCTTTCAGATCTGACATGGAAATCCCTTTAATTTCCTCACGAAGCTTTGGAAGGTTCCCCATCATGATTTGGCAAAACCGATACTGATTAACTCTAGGGAAGTATATGTTTTCTAGCTGTTCCATTGTTTTTAGAGCAGAATAATATCTAGGGAAAAAACAAGAAACCATCTTTTTTAAGGCAGAAAGGGGGGGGGGGACATAGCAAGCATATTTTTTTAAACAAAAAAAAAGATAACAGCCTAAATTCCTGAATAATCTAGTTTCATATAAGAGTGGAGAAGAAAAGGAGGAAGAAATGGCATTTGATACACTTTGGAAGATTTTTTTTTTAATTACTGCTCGCTAAAAGACTAAAAACATTCAGAACCTCAAGTTTGATTGTGTTTGCTGGGTGAATTCTCCAATCATTTCATAAAGAAAATTATGAATAAAATTTTGTAAGAATTTTTTCAGAATATACAGCAAAAGGGTAAATACAGTGCTGATTTTAGAAAATTGTAATGGATTAAAGGAGAAGGATTTGAATTAAAGACTTTGAAGTTAATTAAAAGGCTCTTTTCTGTGGGAAATATTTTTGTTTATATCTAAATAACTGATAAGCCAACTCTGAAGTTGGACACTAGAGGGCACTAGAAGGAAATAAATATATTAATGGCTACTCTAAAAGTATTTTTGTGTTGAATGGGTGAAATAATTATAATGCTATCTGCTATTATAGAATTGGAAGATTTTATTGATGAGAAACCTCCACTGAATAAAATTGAAATTGATCTGAATGTAAATTTAAAAATGATAACTTATAAAAAGAGAGGGAAATAATTGATTTACAAATGATACTGGATAATGATTTGAAAATTACAAAAGACATATGAATAGCAGGAAAATGATGTGGATAACTTCTCTACAATGGATTTTCAAAATGGACATTGGAATTGTTAAAGATTTCGTAAGAAGTGACAGTGAAAATATGAACAGCGATATGGACATTTTTTCTTTACTGAATTTAAACTTCAGAATGCCAACAGTTCTGAGAGAGGAGATAAAGAAAATATGAAGAAAATAAGTATTTAGATTTTGTTTGAGGGAACTAAAGATTGTTGACAGAAAGAAAAAGAATACAAATTCAGTTTATTCGATCAGGATTAATATAAGTGGGTTGCTATTTCTGGTAATGTCTAATGGATTTTAACAATTTGGGATTATATGACAATGTTTTAAGGATTTTGTTAGTGAAGATGGAATGTTATCTCTGGTGACATTTAATGGATTTTTTATTAAGATTGAATGACAATGTTTTAAAATTTTTATTTGAAAATGAGGTGGGGGGTATTTAAATAGAAAATGAGATATAAACATAAAAGGATGGATTTAAAGTGGGTTTATTAGGAGTCCTGGTGGTGCAGTGGTTATAATGCAGTATTGCAGGCTAACTCTCCTGAGCCCATCAGAAGTCCGATCCTGATGGGCTCAAAGTTGACTCAGTCTCCCATCCTTCTGAGCTCAGTAAAATGAGGACCAGATTGTTGGGAGCAATATGCTGACATTATAAACCACTCAGGGAATGCTGTAAAACACTATATAAGTCTAAGTGCTATTGCTATTATTAATGTAATTCGAATATTACTAAGATGGAGGGATAAAGTCTTAAAATATTATAGAGAATGGACTGAGACATGGAATGAAATGGCATTAAGCTTTTTTTAAAAAAAAGATGGTGTTACACTGATTACACTTGCTGGGGAAGAAGAGGAAAATTTCTTTTCTTTTTTACTCCTTCACTTTTTTAGTTTCAATTGGTTTCTTTCTTTTTATATATATATTTATTCTCTGTAGAATGTATTAATTTTATGGGTATAACATAATCCTTAATAAGATTATTACCAATATATATATATATATATATATATATTTATGTATGTATGTATGTATGTATGTATGTATGTATATGTATATGTATATGTATATGTATATATATATATATATATATATATATATATATATGTTTTCTGAGGTTTTCGCGGGTATTTGTATATAGGTCTTTGGTTGTTCGGGTTTTCTCCCGCGTAAAATTGGAAGTGTCTTGGCAACGTTTCGACGAAGTCACATTCGTCATCTTCAGGCTGGTGTTTTTAGCTTCTTGCTTTGAGCAGCAATGTGTGGTTTTAGCTGTTTCTTCCTTTTAACTGCCAGTGAGGGTATGAACTGATTGGATGGGAGCTTGGCTGTGTTCTGATTGGGTGGAGGTGTGTTCTGAATGGTTAGGGGCTTGGCTGTGCTCTGATTGGCTGGGGGAGTGTTCTGTTTGGTTGTGCTCAGGTTAATCTGAGTTGCAGAGGGGTTTAAGATTTTGGGGTTAGGGAGTCGTTTGTCAATAAGGGCAGGTTTCCAAATGGCTGGTAGGCGGGAGGTATCATCTCGCTTGTTCATGCTGTGTGGGCGTTTTTCTATCTCGATGGCTTCTCTGATTATTCTGTTATTAAAATGTTCACTTTTGGCAATGGTTCTGGTATTTTTAAAGTCAATTTCATGTCCTGTGGCTTTAAGGTGTTGGACCAGGGAAGATGTTGGTTCCTCTTTTTTGACTGAGTTCTTATGTTCTTCAATGCGTGCACTTATTCTTCTGTTGGTTTGTCCGATGTATGTGGTGGGACAAGTGGTGCATGGGATTTCGTATACTCCTTGATTTTCTAATTCAATTTTATCTTTGGGGTTTCTAAGGATGGTGGATATTTTTCTGTTTGTGCAGAATGCTGTTTTGATGTTGTGTTTATGGAGGATCTTACTGATTCTGTCTGTGGTGCCTTTTATGTATGGGAGGAGGGCTTTGCCGTTTTCTTGTTCTTTGTCTTGGATTTTAGTGGGGGTTTCTTTTTGGATTAGGTTTGTAATCTTATTTCTATGGAATCCATTGGATGTTAGTACATTGGTGAGAGTGTGTAGTTCGGGTTTTAGGTGTTGTTCGTCAGCTAAGCGTTTTGTTCTGGAGATGAGTGTCTTGGCTACAGAGTTGATCTGTGCTGGGTGGTGGTGTGAGAGAGCGTGCAGATAGCGGTTTGTGTGTGTTTTCTTCTGGTAGATGGTGTGTCCTAGGGAGCCATTGGATTTCTTGTAGACTAAGACATCCAGGAAGGGAAGTTGGTTGTTAGCTTCTGTTTCCATGGTGAACTGTATTTTGGGGTGTAGGCTGTTGAGGTGTGTGAGGAAGTTGTCCAGTTTTTCTTTCCCATGTGGCCAGATTATGAAGGTGTCGTCTACGTATCTGAGCCAGAGTTTGGGTTTGTGATCCGATTTTTCTAGAGCTTGGGTTTCAAAGTGTTCCATGTAGAGGTTGGCAATGACAGGTGAGAGGGGTGATCCCATGGGTGCTCCTTCTGTTTGTTTGTATTTTTGTCCATTATAGATGAAGTATGTGTTGGATAGGCAGTGGTTGGTCAGAAATGAACTTCACACAAAAAGATTCCTCCTAGACCGAATTAACAAAGATCTCCTCACACTCCACCTCAAACTCAGCAACAAGATCCACCCCGCACTTTGGGACAAATCCAAACAACTCGCCGTCTGGAGAGCCGAAACACAGACCACCCTCAAGACAGATACACACACCAACAAACTCCGAAGACTACAAGAACGCCAGAAACAAACCCCTCCTCCCTCACAGCCACACATGAAACAAACAGTGCATAACATCTCAGATAGGATCCTCACCAAAGCCGAAACCAATGTCCTTTCCAAAGGATTCAACTTTGCAGTCGCTCCCAAACACATCCCCACTGAAACCATTATATGTGGAGTTGAAACCAGCCTGACCAAAATCAACCCCGATGACGCTAACAAAATCAGACTCAAAATCACCAACATCCTCTGCACCAGCAAGCCACCCAAAAGCAACTTACCCAAAGAGGAACAGACAGCACTACGTAACCTGAAAGAAGACACCAGCATAATAATCCTACCAGCAGACAAGGGCAACGCCACGGTGGTTATGAACACATCTGACTACCAAACCAAATTAACCAACCTACTCCAAGACTCCCATAAATACAGATCCCACCACCTACCTGGAAAAAACCACCAGAACCAAGATAAAAGCCTCCCCCATTAGCGAAGAGATCCAGCAAAGAATCATTCCCAGAGAGAAATCATCCAGATGCCCTAAACTCTATGGTCTCCCCAAGATACACAAAGAAGGAACCCCACTCAGACCTATAGTCAGCTCCATAGGCTCACCTCTACAAAACCTAGCCAAATTTCTCGCCAAACAACTACAGCCCTATGCAGAATCCATCACCTCACACGTAAAAAACTCATTCCAGTTTATAGAGATCATAAAGAAACAAAACTTACAGCCCAGCGACCTACTAGTGAGCTTCGATGTCATATCCCTCTTCACCCAAGTGCCTATCAAAGAAGCCTTGACAGCTATTCAAAACAAATATAACCCCCCCAAACACATCTTAGATCTGACCAACCACTGCCTATCCAACACATACTTCATCTATAACGGACAAAAATACAAACAAACAGAAGGAGCACCCATGGGATCACCCCTCTCACCTGTCATTGCCAACCTCTACATGGAACACTTTGAAACCCAAGCTCTAGAAAAATCGGATCACAAACCCAAACTCTGGCTCAGATACGTAGACGACACCTTCATAATCTGGCCACATGGGAAAGAAAAACTGGACAACTTCCTCACACACCTCAACAGCCTACACCCCAAAATACAGTTCACCATGGAAACAGAAGCTAACAACCAACTTCCCTTCCTGGATGTCTTAGTCTACAAGAAATCCAATGGCTCCCTAGGACACACCATCTACCAGAAGAAAACACACACAAACCGCTATCTGCACGCTCTCTCACACCACCACCCAGCACAGATCAACTCTGTAGCCAAGACACTCATCTCCAGAACAAAACGCTTAGCTGACGAACAACACCTAAAACCCGAACTACACACTCTCACCAATGTACTAACATCCAATGGATTCCATAGAAATAAGATTACAAACCTAATCCAAAAAGAAACCCCCACTAAAATCCAAGACAAAGAACAAGAAAACGGCAAAGCCCTCCTCCCATACATAAAAGGCACCACAGACAGAATCAGTAAGATCCTCCATAAACACAACATCAAAACAGCATTCTGCACAAACAGAAAAATATCCACCATCCTTAGAAACCCCAAAGATAAAATTGAATTAGAAAATCAAGGAGTATACGAAATCCCATGCACCACTTGTCCCACCACATACATCGGACAAACCAACAGAAGAATAAGTGCACGCATTGAAGAACATAAGAACTCAGTCAAAAAAGAGGAACCAACATCTTCCCTGGTCCAACACCTTAAAGCCACAGGACACGAAATTGACTTTAAAAATACCAGAACCATTGCCAAAAGTGAACATTTTAATAACAGAATAATCAGAGAAGCCATCGAGATAGAAAAACGCCCACACAGCATGAACAAGCGAGATGATACCTCCCGCCTACCAGCCATTTGGAAACCTGCCCTTATTGACAAACTACTCCCTAACCCCAAAATCTTAAACCCCTCTGCAACTCAGACTAACCTGAGCACAACCAAACAGAACACTCCCCCAGCCAATCAGAGCACAGCCAAGCCCCTAACCATTCAGAACACACCTCCACCCAATCAGAACACAGCCAAGCTCCCATCCAATCAGTTCATACCCTCACTGGCAGTTAAAAGGAAGAAACAGCTAAAACCACACATTGCTGCTCAAAGCAAGAAGCTAAAAACACCAGCCTGAAGATGACGAATGTGACTTCGTCGAAACGTTGCCAAGACACTTCCAATTTTACGCGGGAGAAAACCCGAACAACCAAAGACCTATATATATATATGTATATATATATAAACTGGTGATATATAAATCCTAAGAGAGACAGAGATTGGTGATATATAAATCCTAAGGGAGACAGAGATTGAAAAATAGTAAGATTTTAAAAAAATTAATTAGAGAAGGATGAAAGCAAAGCATTTGGCTATATTGTACTCTTTTCCTAGTGTAGGCAAGCAGCTTTTCAACATAATTAAAATACATGTAGACATTAAATTGTTAGATCAAAGAATGTGATTTATAGGGTGTATCTCACCAGAAATTGTTATAATTATATACTATATATATATATATATTATACTATATACTACATTTTATTATATTATGTATTATGTCAAAAAACAAATAGAAATAATTATTCATTTTTATTTATAATTATAATTATTTGTTATTAATATTTACATATTCATTTAGAGATTGTTTTGAAAGTTGCATGGTGTACCAGATGACAACTGAAGTCAAATATTAACCAGCGAGAAAAATCTCTATTTTGCTATTTTGATCATGTATTAACTATTTGTTTTTAAATAATAAAACTAAATCAAAACCCAAATTTAATTATTTCAATTTTATGCATATGACTTAAAAGTTTAATTTTTAAAGCCAATTACTAACTCTTCAAAATACGTTATTTTTCCTCATAATAATTGTTCATTTGTAATGAAAAGCATGGAACAAAGACTGGAAAAGAATACAATGACCAGACGAAATTCATTAAATGTCCTCACTAAAGTAAGCTTTACTACTCCACCAGTAATTGCAATAGACAAGTAGATGAACCATTAAAACATTTAATTGAGTTAAAAACGATTAATTCACCTTCTGACATTCATCTGCTCTTTTAATTTGCTGTACATCTCCAATACTGTAAGAAAAAAAATATTAACTGTCATAAATTTCACTATAAAATATATAACCAAATACAGAGGCTTTCCAAATCATCAGTTTTGTATATAAATGCATTTTTGACATTGTGAAAGTATTACAACATAAGGATCGAAAGGGGGGAAAATCAGTAAAAATAGGAATTTTAGAAAGTTAGTTTAGGCGGATCTCAAAGCATTTTTAAACTTTAACTTATTTATCTTTATTGGCCACCCAATGCAGTGAAAATTACAATGGATTCACAGCCAAAAATAGATCACTGCTGTTGGCAGGAACATCTGTTACAGGAAGAACACATCAGGGAACCCTGGTGTTTTACAGATAATGGTAAAAATGTAATGTTTCTCTATTTAATTAAAACCAAATGTCAGAAAGGGGGACTTGAAAAATGTTGTATATGACGATGTTTCAGCTTCTCTTTTAAACTTTGGGAGTTCCATGAATGGTTAAATAATATCTGTATGGTTAAATAATATTTCTGTCTACAAATTAATATTATAAACAATATTTCTTCTCTGAATATCCTATCAATATCCTGGATAAAAATGAAGAAATTAAAAAAAAGTTTAAAAAGATAACTGATTTAAACTCATTTAAACATCCCCTTTAAGTCTTTAAGCAATAGTTTCTCCAGAAAATACCCTGTATCCCAAACATAAGCTCAATTTTGTATTAGTTGTGTTGAAATATATCTACATTTCACTTTGGTAGTGACATTTGGAGGTATTCCTACATTTGGCATTTAAGTATTTGTAACTAACCTGGAAGGCACAACTGAAGTTTTTCGACCACGGTCATAATATTCCTCTGCTGAAGTCTACTCTGGATGACTTCCTCTGTCTGAGCTAGCACCTTGAATATTTTCAAACATAGTATAGTTAAATTAGGTACACATATGTTACATTCCATAAAACATTTGTTGAATTAATTGCAAAAGCCATTTTCTTACCTCTTTCCCAGCTTCTTGAAGTCTTCTGTTTGTATCAGTAACTTGGACCTTAAAAATGATTTCACCTTTATTAGAAAAATATGCATATAATGCCCTGATGCAACTGCTCACCCTTGTAATCAGATCATGCTTCATGAGAAACTTAGAACAAAGAAATGTAAATCCAAATTAACTCTACAGCTTGAACTTGAACTTTTGATCACCAAGGGTTTTTGTTAACGTCAATTAATTATGACAGTTCTTTCTAACAGATTCAGTGGCAAACTTCTCAAATTTACTTGGGATTTTTGAACTTTGTTTCTATAGGTCTGTCAAACAATTCAAATCATTGACCCAATTGACCACTGGTCCTTCTTTGATAACCTCAATGAGCTCTATGTGTTATTCATTGTCTGCAAGAAATGGTGATTGCATTTTATGGTAATTAAACATTCATACTTTGCTGAATGCAAACACTGGGAGGTTGATTAACATCAAACGTGGATATTGCCAGCCAGCATTTTAATGCTGCAGGTGCAGGCAGTGTTCGACCTCAGAGTTTCCCACATATTAAGTGACTCATTAGGTCATCATAATAAGGGAGCACATTCTAGTTTATTAAAAAACTCATTAAATTCTGAACAAAGATGCTCAATGACCTCATTGAGTCTCTAGTTATATGAATATCCTTTATATAATGCTGTTCTACTCATAACCTCTGGTGAACTATGCTCATTCTGTCTGGTGCACATATTTTTCTTACAAATGTGCAAAGGGAGCTAAGAGGGACTATTTCCACAATTTATTTCTGAGGAAATCTCACAGTATGTTTTCAAGAAAAAAAATCCCAACAATTTCAGCCACTTTTTGGAGAAACATCTGCAGGGACAGGAAATTTCCATACTAGATCTGGGCACTCAGAAAAAAGTATCTCAAAAATATATCTCGGCCCCCTCGGTGAATTAAGCAATGCTGTGAAGGTCTTACCGGGCCGGTGCCTGGAAGCTGTGAGGGTCTGGATGGGGAACAACAGGCTTCAGCTGAACCCTAGCAAGTCTCAGAGGTTCTGGCTTTTGTAGCTTGCCAATTCCAGGACTATGTCATTTTTAGTGCTGGATGTGGTTGCACTGCCCCAGCCACACCTGGTGCATGATCTGAGGGTCCTCCTGGAATCATGACTCCTGCTCAAAGAACAGGTGGCAATCATGATTAGGAGGGCTTTTGCACAACTTGGTATTTTGTGCCAGTTGTGCCCATTCCTAGATCAGAAAGTCCTGCTCATGGTCACTCATGCCCTAGTTACCCTTCTATTGGACTACTATAATGCACACTTCATGGCTCTGCCCTTGAAGAATATCTGGAAGCTTCAGCAGAAAGAAAATGCAACGGCACAGGCAGTTACAGTATGTTTGCTTCTAGAATACACAACGTTATATCTCTGCTTCGCAAGCTGCAGTGGTTGCCAGAGTGCTTCGGGTCCAATTCAAGATTCTGGTTTTGACACATAGTCCTTCCTAGCATGGGGCAGTTTATCTGAAGGACTGCTACATTATTGTTGTTAACATCTGCTGTTCCCTCTTAGTCTTATGATTTTTATTTTTTAATACTTGTTATATTTTTATTGTTTTAATCTTCTATAATTTGTTGTATGCTACCCAGATTAACTTTTTGTGAGATGTATGCACCCATATAAATTTAACATATAAACAAATCAATACTTTCTAAAATATTTAGAGTTGATCTAAAAATAATCTACCTAATTATTTATATTTAATTACTAAAAGTAATTGTAGCATTTTCATGGCATACTGTAGTTCTTTCGTTACTATTGTAATGTTTTGAGTCATTATTCACAAGCATCTAAAGGTATCAATATTTTACTTTGAAAAAGAACATGTGGCAATAAATCCTGCATTCTAGTACTGCACAAAATAATCCTTTCATTAAAAAAAAATATTTTAAAAACCGCAGCTCCTTACCTTTAGTTTCTCTGCATCAGCCCTTACTTTAAGAAGTTCTGTAATGGCATCCACAAATCCTTGATGGTGAAAATTGCACATTTTTTCAATCTCTTTGTCATGATTACGTATACATGCATCCAATTTTTCCATAAACTTTTGGTGTGCATTTGGCTGATCATCATACACAGACCTATCAATAAGTACATATAAACAAAATGTGAGCAGAAATTAACATTAAGTCTTCTAAACATGACTTTGCTTAAATTGATTCACTGGTGGAACTCATCCACCTATCCACTCGTTATATGTCCAAAATATACATTCATGAAAAAGGAATGCCACTACTGAAAAAAAAATCTTCAAGTATTCTTTTATGTTATTTTCCATGCTTCTAACTCAAAATTATTCAGTTAGCCCCCTCTAGTGAACACAGCCTAACATTACCCAAAACTATATTCATGGATAAGTAAAGAAAATCCAAAACCCAAATTAGTATTTTTTAGAATGCATTTACTTGTCTCATTTTTGAATACAATGATACAAACTATAACAGGTGATTTCATTGCCCTCAGCATTTTGCTCATTTTAATTTGTATTTTGTGAACTCAAAACAAACTCAGGATAATAATAATAGTAGTAGTAGTAGTAGTAGTAGTAGTAGTAGTAGTAGTAGTAGTAGTAAAGTTGGAAAGGACCTTGGAGGTCATCTAGTCCAACTACCTGCTCAGGCAGGAAACCCTATACCATTTCAGACAAATGGCTGTCCAGTCTCTTCCTAAAAACTTCCAGTCTTGAAGCATTTACCGCTTCTGGAGGCAGGTTGTTCCACTGGTTAATTGTTCTAACCGTCAGGAAGTTTCTCCTTAGTTCTAGGTTGCTTCTCTCCTTGATTAGTTTCCACCCATTGCTTCTTGTCCTGCCTTCAGGTGCCTTGGAAAATAGCTTGACTCCCTCTTCTTTGTGGCAGCCCCTGAGATATTGGGACACTGCTATCATGTCCCCCCTCGACCTTCTCTTCGTTAAACTAGACATACCCAATTCCAGCAACCGTTCTTTATATGTTTTAGCCTCCAGTCCTCTGATAATCTTTGTTGCTCTTTTCTGTACTCTTTCTAGAGTCTCGGCATCTTTTTTACACTGTGGTAACCAAAACTGGATGCAGTATTCCAAGTGTGGCCTTACCAAGGCATTGTAAAGTGGTATTAACACTTCACGTGATCGTGATTCTATGCTTCTGTTAATGCAGCCTAGCACTGTGTTGGCTTTTGTGGCAGTGCAGCACACTGCTAGCTCATATTTAAATGATTGTCCACTAGGACCCCGAGGTCCCTCTCACAATTACTACTATTGAGCAAGGTACCCCCTATACCACAGGTCGGAAACCTGCGGCTCCAGAGTCGCATGCGGCTCTTTGAGCCTTCCCTTGTGGCTCCCAGCCTCCTCTGCCATTTGCAGAGAGAGAGAGAGAGAGACAGAAAGTGGCAATTGCGCTTCCCTGCCTCTCTCTCTCTCTCTCATTCTCTCTCTCTCTCTCTCTCTCTCTCTGTGTGTGTGTGTGTGTGTGTAAAAGAGAGTGCACTCACAGTGTTCTCCAAGGAGCTGAAAAGCTTATTGGGTGGAGCTCCTCCCTTTGCTGCGTCTCTGCAGGAAGCAGGAAGCAGGAAGGGCAGGAGAGAGCTAGCTAGCCCAGCTATGCTGACTCAGGAATTCTGGGAGTTGAAGTCCATGAGTTATAAAAGAGCCGAGGTTGCCTACCCCTGAGCTTGTTGGAGAACAGCTTGAAGCCAGCTTGCCAAGTGAGCAGCAGATAGGAGAGAGGGAGGGGGGGAAGAGACAGAGATAAAAAGAGAGAGGGAGGGAGGGGGAGAGAGAGAGAGAGGGGAAAGAGAGAGAGAGAAAGAAAGAGAGTGGGGGAAGAGGACTGGCAGACCAAGGGCAGATAGAGAGAGAGGGAGGGAGAGAGAGAGAGACAGAGAGAGACCCTTTTGACATCTAAAATGAAGATAACACTGCATATATCCTTTTTTACCTGTGTATGTATACAGTGTGTATGTATGTATGTATGTGTGTATGTGTGTGTGTGTGTGTGTGTGTGTTAAACATATATATATGTTTAACTAGCAAAAATGCAAGAACACCAGGAAATTATAAAACTATAAAAAGTTTTAATAAGTTAAAATACCAAGCTTTCGCCGGCAACTGCCAGCATCGTCAGGGTAGCTTCCAGTCGATGGGGGAGGCTATTTATGGATATGGCGTTCTTTGCGCCCGGCTCCTGGACCTCGTTACAGGTCCCAGCCAATCCACTTGCACTCTGATCGTAGTTTCCGTGTTGCTGATCATTACTTCCTTGCTTTCCTTGTTTGTATCTATGTCCCCACCCCCCTCCTCATGTGGCCATGGATTGGGGGAGCCTGTACATTTTCGCTGTTTGTTTTCCTCATTCTCCTTCCTGATACTCCCCCTCCTCGTTCTCCTCCCACCTTCCCTCTTTCCATAGTCCTTTTTCACAGTTTCCACCTCATTGCTTTCTCCTACGTCACAAGATTTCATTGCAGTTGTCTTATCGTAACCCCCGTTCTCCAATGTTGCCCCACTAACTTTCATTTTCTTATCAATGGGAGCATTTCCAACGGCATTGCTAGGGCTCGCAACATCTTTAGGTTGACTGCCACTCTCCCCTCCACATAGAGTCCTCGGTATGGGGGTCGTCCCCTCTCCGTGATTCATACCCCCCTCCGTTCCCTGGGGGTGCGTGATCGTCTTCAGGGGGAGGGAAGGGGGTGGGTTTTCCAATTCTCAGTTTCTCACTCCTTGCATATTTCCAGGGTGGGTCACCCCTCTTAGGTGTTTCCTGGAGCGTGCAGAGGCTATAGCGTTGTGAACGATTGCCTCATCGCCCTCCCATGGCTCATTCACATTACCAAAGCGAAAGCACGCTGTTGAAATAATATTATGGGTGGGATTAATCGTGAAATCGCTGACAGGGGTGGGGCGATGTTACAGCCCTTCCATTCACGACCACTCCGCATCCGGGTGTTAGTACGGGACCGCGTCATTACCCAATTGACTTACCCATATTACCTATATTACCCATATAGCTGAGCATGATCATTACTTTGATTTTGAGAACACCCAAATCTTAGCTAATGATGCTACAAAGGGAGGCCGTTTACTGAAAGAAGCATGGTTCTCAGGAACAGATTCGATCAACTGACATGTGGACCTATGCTCAGCACACCAGGCTCTAAGAACTTTAAACGCTAGCTGCCGGTCCAACTTCCAAAGGAGACTCATTTGTAAACCATATAACCATGATAAGGACAACCCCCTGACCCCCACCCCTCTCTACTTGATCATATGAACGGAACTCTAATTGACAGCTCCCCACCAACAAACACACAACTACCGTTTAGCCATCAACACATCAATCATAACAAACAGTCTTTGCATGACTCCCTACAACACCCTGTAGGTAGACTCCCTTTAGAACAGAAAGATAATATGCAAAGCAATGGTATAAGACTCGTGAAATTGCAGAACGAACGAAACGTAGTAAAATCTGAAAGTGGTTACGATGAGGAGCCTCCTTCCAGTTGCTCTGTGGAACACGAGATGACAACCCGATCAAAATTAAATAAAAAGAAACTCCCCCTCCCTCCTCCCCCCATGCATTCAACACGAGGACGATCGGTTGAACAGCAATTGTAGCCAAGACAGGAGAGCCCCATAAGAGACGAAGGTGAAAAATCTGGAACAAACAAAAACAACATTCACTGGCAACAGACTGAGCAGCTGGGTGCTGTCAATGAGATCGTAACAGATGACACTCTGGGCATGCGCAAGAGAAGCGACGCCGGAACAAACAACAGACCGTTAAGGACGACACTTAAGAGAGAAGATAAGAGGAAGAATAACACGAAATGGGAGGAGGAATGTACACCGTGGCTCAAAGAGATAAATAAACAAAAGCAAAACAGACCCAAAACCCACAGGAGCACGAAAAGTAAATCAAACACTCCCCCACCCATCAGAGAAAGCCATACGCAGGACGATAGAGGAACTGGATACAGGAGAGGGGAGAGTACCCCCAGCCTAAACCCACCTATCTCCAAACTAGCAGATAAAACAATGTATAAGGGACTCAAACAAAAGAAAAGAATATACGGTAACTTAAGAAGTGAACTTAAAACTCAGCCTGACCAACTGGATCCAACGAAGCACTCTGTAAACCAGAGATAGGCATTTAACGGCTATATGTAAGATTTCTTTCAGCATCTGCCTTTTAACCCTAATGATGTCAAGTGTATTTGACGAAAGCTTGGTTGATTAAACTTTTATTTCTTAAATTTCTCTTGGTGATCATTATTTTAATAATTAATACACACACACACACACACACACACACACACACACACACCTATAATAAAGATAAAAGAGGATATATGCAGTGTTATCTTCATTTTAGATATCAAAAGAGTTTTGCGGCTCCTGGTGTTTTGTTTTCGGTGGGAAATGGGTCCAAGTGGCTCTTTGAGTGTTTTGGGTTGCCTATCTCTGCCCTATACTATACCTGTGCATTTGGTTTTTCTTGCCTAAATGTAGAACCTTGCTTTTTTCACCATTGAATTTCATTTTGTTAGATAGTGCCCAGTGTTCAAGTCTGTCCAGATCCTTCTGTATCTTAAGCCTGTCTTCTGGAGTGTTGGCTATTCCTGCCAGCTTGATGTTGTCCGCAAATTTGATGAGTTCCCCATCTATCCCCTCGTCTAAATCATTGATGAAGATGTTGAAGAGCACTGGGCCCAGAACAGAGCCCTGGGGCACCCCACTACACACTTCTCTCCATGTAGATGTGGTTCCATTGAGGACCACAGGCTGAGTACGGCCGGTCAGCCAGCTACGGATCCATCTGGTGGTGATGCTGTCTACCCCACATTTTTCTGTCTTGTCAAGTAGTAGGTTGTGATCTACTTTATCAAATGCCTTACTGAAGTTCAAGTAAATTATGTCCACAGCATTCCTCTGATCCACTAATTTTGTTACGGTCAAAGAATGCAATAAGATTTGGACTTCCGGTTCCGGAACGCGGCAACACCAGTAGTGCCTGAAGACTTGTCTCCGAGCCGTCTGGAGTTTCCTTCGCCGGTAGACCCCCTAGGGGGTCGAAAGTTGCCCTGGAGGGGCAAC